AGGTTTGAGTGCAGTGGTGTGATCATACTCACTATAACCCCTACCTCCTGGGTTGAAATGATTCTCTTGCCTCAGCTTCCTGAGAAGCAGGGACTATAAGGGTGTGCCATCACACTCAGATTATTTTAAAATTTTTTAAAAGCTATGGGGGGGTCTCGCTATGTTCTCTGTGCAGGTCTCAGACTCCTGGGCTCAATCAATCCTCCCACCTCGGCCTGTAGCTGTGATTACAAGCGTGAGCCACTGATGTGTTTTCTGAGAACTGTTTCTGCCAAGGGGAACTGACTAATGTTACCACAGTGTGGACCATCATTGCTCTACTTCCCGATCCTTCCCCAGCACACAGGAGAACCTGGATGCCTAGCTACTGAGTAAGTGAATAAAAGGATTCTCAGAACAGTATTATTTTATATATCAAAAATTGGGGCCAATTCTCCCATTCCCCACACTTAGCTATAAGCAGTCACTAATGTACTTTCTGTCTCTACAGACTGGCCTATTCCAGACACTTTGTAGAAATGGGATCACACAATATGTGGTCTCTACAGGTGGAGCAGCAAATGTCACTGCTATAGTAGTTACTATTGGAACTTCTCAAGAACAGGGATGGGGTAACTTTTCTCTTGTGACTAGTAGCTTGGTGATTCAATAGTGTTCAACAAATGTCTGATAAATGAATGGTCCCCATTTTAAGGATGAGACAGATAAGCCTCCAAAGGGTTATGTGATTTGCCTAAGATCATAATGGCAGTAGGAAAATATGTGATTCAAGTCTCATAGTTCGTTCCTTACTTGCACGGAACCTAACTTCTGGCTGGTGCGGTGGCTCATGCCTATAATCCTAGTACTTGGGGAGGCCAAGGTGAGAAGACTGCTTGAGGTCAGGAGTTGGAGACTAGCCCAAGCAATTTTCTATTTCTACTAAAAATAAAAAAAAAAAATAGCCAGGGATGGTGGTCCCTATAGTCCCAGCTACTTGGGAGGCTGAGGCAGGATTGCTTGAACCCAGGAGTTCCAGGGCTTACAGTGAGCTATGATCACACTACTGCACTCTAGCCTGTAGCTCAGTGGTGAGGGTACTGGCCACATAAACCACCCGGGCCTGCTAAACAACAATGACAACTACAACAAAAAAATCTCTGGGCGTTATGGCAGATGCCTGTAGTCCCAGCTACTAGGGAAGCTGAGGCAAGAGAATAGCTTAAGCCCCAGAGTCTGAGGTTGCTGTCAGCTGTGATGCCATAACACTCTACTGAGGGCAACATAATGAAACTCTGTCTCAAAAAAAAAAAAAAAAAAAAAAGAAAGAAAGAAAGAAAAAAAAACAACCATAACTTCTGCTATGTCTTCTAAGTTGTAAAATACTGGCACTGTGTCCCTCATAGTTGTGAAACCGTTAGCTCTTTCTGTTCCCATCTTGTCAGATGTGCAATCATCCTACAATGAAAAAGACAAACAATAGTGTAAGATTAGGTTCAGGCAAACTCCCAGCTCTGCCAGTAAACCAGCTGACTCCAGTTTGCCAAGATTGAACATCGGGACCATAATCTTCAACTCCTTACATTTGTTAGAATTAAATGAGGTATCTTTCCAGCACCCAGTATAGTGCTTAGCTAATGGAACACTAGCATCTCTGATTTGTACTGTCTTACTTGGGAATAAGATTATAAAGTTATAATCTGATTCTCACTTGGGAATTATAAGATTACAAAGTTACAACCCTATTCCCATTTTTACAAAATTACAGATAGCCCTATGTATTCTTGGGTTCAGGATCCCTGGATTCAACCCAGCCTGGAATGAAAAAAAAATTTTTTTTGTTGTTTTTTGGAGACAGAGTCTCACTTTGTCACCCTCAGTAGAGTGCCAAGGCATCATTGCTCCCAGCAACCTCAAATTCTTGGGCTCAAGTGATCCTCTTTGCCTCAGCTTTTGAAGTTGCTAGGACTACAGGCACCTGCCACAATGCCTGACTTGTTTTTCCATTTTCAGTAGAGATAGGGTCTACTTTGCTCAGCTGGTCTGGAACTCCTGACCTCAGGCATCCCACATGCCTCTGCCTCCCAGAGTGCTAGGATTACAGTTATGAGCCACCATCCCCAGCCAAAATATTTGGGAAAAAAAAAAGCAGGAAAAAAATAACAGTACAACAATAAAAAATAATATAAATAAAATATAATACAGTACATGTATAATGACTATTTTACATAGCATTTACAGTATAGTAGGTATTATAAATACAGACAGTCGTAGAATAACATCATTTTGTTCAACTCAGTTTTGTTATAACTTTGATGAGAAAGGGAGGACCCCTTGAGACCAGACTGGGCCACAGAGCAAGAGACCCCATCTCTACAAAAAATAGCTGGCCGGCCCACAGTCCCAGCAACCGGGAAGGCAAAGCCCGAGGCTAGTTAGAGCCAGGAGTTGGAGGATGCACTGAACTAATATCTCACTACGGCATTCCAGCCTGGGGCAACAAGAGCAAGACTCCACTCAAAAAATTTAAAAAGTATATGGGCAGATATACTTGAGTTATACGGAAATCTTATGCCGTTTTTTATCAGGAACTTGGGCATCCTTGGATTTTGGTAAATTTGGGAGGCCCTGAAGTCAAGTAGAACTGCTTAATCCTTTTAAGGTTGTAAGAAGAGTATAGTTTTCTCCGTTTTATTGATTAAGCCCCAAGGGTCACAGAGGTTAAGTAACCTGCCTATGGCTGCAAAGTCAACATTACAATTCCAAAGCCTAAGTGACCATCTACGTAGTAAATCCAAGCCCCCGCCCCCCCCAATCTACACTTGAGGTCTTGAGATGGCAGTCCAGACAGTGTATTGCCACCTGAGGATTGAGGGTCCTATCAGCATTTTCCCTGCAGAAGGGTAAGATATGTAGTCTTAGGGAAGGGTGCGGGCCCTGCCTGATGCCCCACCCTCCCACTTGTGTCACCAACCAAAAGAAAGTGCCGGAAAGCCTACCCCTGACATCAAGGCTACTCTCGCCGGCCCCCGCCCTCCCGACGTCACGGCCACTAGGTGCAGTGCCCGCCTAGGGGCCCCTGCTGGGCCGAGAAGGAAGAGCCAGGTCCTTCCCGCTGCTGGCCCGTTACCTGCCAGCCCCGCTCTCCCTGGCACCCGCCCGGCCACCCTCGGGAAGAACTTGACATCCCGGTGCTTCGCAGCCGCATTGCTGCATCACCGCGCCGCACCATGAGCAAGCGCCTGCAGCTAGTTCTGCGCCAGCTCTGCCGCTCGCCGCTGCCCCCGGGCCCGCCGCGCCGTTTCCGCGTGCCCTGCCGAGCCAGCAGCGGCGGCTGCAGTGGCGGCCGAGAGGGCCTGCTCGGGCAGCGGCGGCCGCAGGACGGCCAGGCCCGGCGCGGCTGCAGTCCCGGAGGCCGGGCGCCCGCGGCGCTGGACTCCATCGTCAGGTGAGCGTCCGGCCTGGCCCTGGCGGTCTCGGCGGGGTCCGGGAGCCGCGGTTGGCGGGGAGGCTCGCGGGGCCGGGAATACTTGGGGCCGACTAGTTAGGGGAGCCTGACGTTTGGCCAGGGGAAGCGCGGGTTCGGGGAAGGCGGCGGAGTGCGCGGGCGGAGGACGGGGGCGCCCCGGGGCCGAGCGAGCTGGGGAATCGGGCGGGCGAGAGCATCCCCGGCCGGCGCGGCCTCCCGCCCTACACGCCCCGCTCCACGTGCGCCGCCGGCTCTGATGCAATCGCGCCGGGCGCCCAGACAGGAAAGGGGCGGCGCGGCGGAGGGCGGGAGCCGGGAGCCGGGAGGGGGTGCGGGCTGGTGCTGTGCGCCCGCCAGTCCGGAGTTCGGGGCAGGGCGGCCCCCACCCGGCTCCGAGAGGGCTCTGCGCCGGCGGCGTCGGCTTCTGGCAGCCACCGATGCGTTGAAGTTGGCCTTCTCCCCGGCGCCTCCGCCTCCTGCGGGGGTCGGGGGGGAGGGTTCCGCGATCGGCGTCACCACGTCCTGAAAGTTCCGTGGTGCCGGGTCCGCCGGGTAATCCGCGAGACGAGCCGCGGATAGATCACGGGCACCTGGTTCCCGGCCACGCACCTGGAGCTCCGCGCGCAGCCGTACCGGGAAGGCGCGCTCGGGCCCCAGCGCGCCTCGGGAACTCCGGGCCGGGCCGCCGCAGTCCCCCGCTGGAGGCGCCACCTGCGCTCCCAGCGCGTTCTCACCCTTCGCTCGCACGCTCAGACTCCCGGCCCCCAGTGGGAGAGGGAGCCTTGGAGAAGCGTGGTCGCTAGGACCCAGACCGTGCAGAGTGGGGCGGCAAAGCCCCCTCCTGCCTCCCTGCGAACTAGCCAGCCCGGGGAAGGAGTTCCAGCCTGTCATTTCCACGTGCAAGCTGCTCTACCGCCTGTCCTCACAGCCTCTTCCTATTTTTTCTAGCCTTCATTTTTAAGGTCATTGCCTGCCCACCCTGCACCTCTCCTCCCTCTCTCCTGCCCTACCTCCTTCCTCGTCTCTTCCTCCCCTCTCTCTGTAATATGAATTTCTCTTTTTTTTTTGTGACGTAATTTTTTTCAAGTCTTTATTCTGTGTTTATCTTTTGTATAGTTCAGATTGCATTTTTATCTTTTTTTTTAACTTCAGAATATTAGGGGATGCACGTTTTGTTTACATGCCCCGTTTTTGTACGGATTGAGTCACAGTTATACCCGTAAGCGTGCTCTTCACCCAGATAGCGTGCGCTGTACCTAATACCGTAGCTGTAAATTTACCCCTCCCCGCCCTGCCCGCCCCTGTAATATGAGTTTCTGAGGCTGTTCAGATGTGGCAGATTCTAAGGGGCTGGATTGTGTCTCACAGTCACTATTGGCTAGGTGGCAGTCAGGGCATATTTGACATCGCCTGCACCTGCATATTGCTGCCCCTTGAGTTATGCGCCTGGTTTACCAAATTTCAGCCCTGCAAGGAATTCCCCCTGACTTGTATAAAAAGGGTATGTAGTGGGGGGAATTTGGCTAGAAGTCACCTGGAATAGACATCCAGAAGTGTGGAGAATCGGTAGAAAAGTTAAAGAATGAGCTCCCTCAAAAGCCCAGTGACCCATTATACTGATGGTGCGACTAGATGACCTCCATTCAGAAATGTTTCAGTTGGCAGTGCAGGTAAAGGTCGTTTTAGGAAATAGTATGATTTCTGGTTGTTGTCTGTCAGCCCTCTGATGACATCTGGTAGAATCAAGGAAGCACTGGCGGCATCAAAACTTGCAGAATGGGTCTCAGCAACTGAATGAACACCCCAGGGACAAAAATGATGTGATCTAAGGAATGCTAGACTTGAAGAAATGCTGCCAACACTTTTTTTTTTTTTAGACAGTCTCACTTTGTTACTTTTGATAGAGTGCTAGGGCATCATAGCTCACAGCAACCCCAAACTCTTGGGCTCAAGTGATACTTTTGCCTCAGTTTTTCATTTTTGGTAGAGATGGAGTCTCACTCTTGCTTAGGCTGGTCTGGAACTGGTGAGCTTAAAGGATCCACCTACCTCAGCCTCCCAGAGTGCTAGGACTACAGGCATGAGCCACCATGACTGGCAGCTGCCAACACTCTTGTGGCACAGAGGGTGATATTATGTGTGTGTGTGTACAACAAGAACAAAAGCTACTTGGAGCCTGCAAGAGAGCCCAAGAGCTTGAGGTTGCTATAAGCTGTGATGCCATGGCACTCTACTGAGGGCGATAAAGTGAGATTCTGTCTCTTAAAAAAAGAAAGAAAGTGGAGGTGAAGAAAGTGGTTTCTTGCGATGAAATCTTCTCCTGGTGAAGATGCTATGAACACTATTGAAATACCAACAAAGGATTGAGAATATTCCTGCAAGTAAGCACAGTAGGACCTCTGTACACTGACCACCCAAGGGACTGTAACAAACTGGTAAACATATGGCAGTGGTCAGCAGAAGGAACGAGGCTTTCTCTATATACATGCAGTGTGTATTCAGTCTATGAGAATTAGGTCAACTCAAGAAGGTGGTCAGTCCTGGGGAAGTAGGGATGTCATCCTACCTCCTCGGGACTGCTCTCCTCTAGAGTGCTGTGCTATCATAGCTCACAGCAACCTCAAACTCTTGAGCTCAAGTGATTCTCTTGCCTCAGCCTCCCAAGTAGCTGGGACTATTTTTTAGAGACAGGGTCTCTGTCTTGCTCAGGCTGGTCTCGAACCCGTGAGCTCAAGCAATCCACCTGCCTCGGCCTCCCGGAGTACTATTATTACAGGTGTGAGCCACCATGCCTGACCTAGATTAGTATTTTTCTGAAATGTAGAATATTACTAATTAATAGGCTCGACATTCAGGGATATACCTAAGTTGGTAGTTTTCAGTAACATTACCAGCTGCTTTCTCTTAAACACTTTGGCTTGGCCACAGCTAGCTGCAGGGGAGGCAAGGAGCATGGCCATTATTACAAGGCAGCTCCTCTAACACACATCATTGCACACAAAACCAGGAGAGGAACGTGAGTCCCTGGTAGTTGCAGAGATAGACACACATTCAGGGTAATGGTTGTTACCATCTTTAGTAATAGATGACTGGGTTTTAGCTACACATGGCAGCCCACCTAGAGAACCCCACACTGCCTTCCACAGTTCTCAGTCAGAAAGGAAGCAGACAAGGCTATTTTTCTTCCCCCAAGGACACAGAAATCTCTGACTGGAAACACGTTTGCTACTTTTTAGATTTGTTGAGCCTGGTGTCTCCTTTCTTGCTTGCTTGCTTTGCTTGGAACTGTAAGAATAGAGAGTAACCCAAAGAATGAAACATTACACCTAAGGCAAGTTATAGGGAGCTTGAGCCAGTTTTGTTAACTTCGGTGGTAACAGCATTGAACCCCCTTTACGGGCCTACACAGACCTGCCTCTGAGACAGTGTGGGGTTCGGTTCCGCGCCACCACAATGAAGCAAATGTCACAATAAAATGAGTCACAGGAATTTGTTGATTTCCTAGTACCTGTAAAAGTTAATGTTTACCCATTAACTATACGATAGTCTCCTAACTGTGCAATAGCCTATGTCTAAAAGAACCATGCGTACCTTAACTGGAAATAGTTTATTTTCAAAAAATGCCAATGATATCTGAGCCTTCAGCAAGTTCTGATCTCTTTGTTGGCGGGAACACTTGCCTTCATGTTGATGTCTATTGACTGAACGAGGTGGTGGTTGCTGAAGGGTGGAGTGGCTGTGGCGATTTCTTAAAATAGGACAATGAAGTTTGCTGCATTGAAGGACTTTTCCATTCAAGAAAATTTCTCTTTGTCACGTGATGCTGTTTGGTAGCATTTTACCCACAGTAAAACAACATTCAAAATTAGAGGCAATCCTCTCAAACCCTGCTGCTACTTATCAAGCACTGTAGAACCTCCATTGTTGACCACCTCGTTGAGTTGACCTAGTTTTCATAGACAGGACACGCACTGCATGTATGCAGAGTAGACCTTGTTCCTTCTGCTGACCACCTCCATATGTTTACCAGTTTGTTACAGTCCCTTGGGTGGCCAGTGTACAGAGGTCCTACTGTGCTTACTTGCAGGAATATTCTCAATCCTTTGTTGGCATTTCAATAGTGTTCACAGCATCTTTTCAAGGAATAGATTTCATCGCAAGAAACCACTTTCTTCACCTCCACTTTCTTCACTGTCCATTTGTTTAAGTTTGATCCTGAGATTGCAGCAGTTCAGACACATCTTCAGGTTCCACTTCTAATTTGAGTTCTCTTGCTGTTTTTTGCTCATGCTGGTCTTGAACTTCTGAGTTGGGGTGATCCCTCAGCCTGGGCTTCCCAGAGTGTTAGGATTACCAGCATGAGCCACCATGCCCAGCCACTTCTTTTTTTTTTTTCTTGACACAGTCTCACTCTGTCACTCTGGGTGACATCATCACAGCTCACAGCAACCGCAAACTCTTGGGCTTAAGCAATCTTGCCTTACCCTCCCCAGTAGCTGGGACCAAAGATGTGTACCACCATGCCTTGCTAAATTTTCTGGGGGTTTGTAGTCAGGGTCTCACTGTATTGCTCAGGCTTGGCCTCAAGCCATCTTCCCACCTCAGTCTCCCAAAGTGCTGGGATTAGCAGTGTGACCCTTTGGTCCTGGCCAGCAACCCGCATTTTTACCAAGCTCTCCAGATTATCCTTATACCGAGAGCTTCTCAGGGTCTACACCCCAGGGCCTTTCCAGGCCAACCCAAAGTGGCCTAATCAGCAGTTATGACAGGCTGGAGAGAGTGTAGCATATGGACCTGCGTCACAATTGTTGGACAGATGGATGTCAGAGCTCACTTATAAGGTGATTTGTGAATTCTCCACATGCTCTTAGTTACTCAACACAGTAGTATAATTGATTGGCTGGGAATTAATTTGCTTTATCCCAAGTGTTTCTTTTTTTGAGACAGGTTCTCACTTTGTCATCCTTGGTAGGGTGCCGTGACATCATGGCTCACAGCAACCTCAAACTCTTGGCCACAAGCAATCCTCTTACCTCAGTCTCCTGAACAGCTGGGACTATAGGCACCTGCCACAAGGCCTGGCTATTTTTATTTTTACTTTTTGTAGAGACAGAGTCTCACTTTATCACTCTTGGTAGAGTGCCGTAGCATCACACAGCTCACAGCAACCTCCAGCTCTTGGGCTTAGGCAATTTTCTTGCCTCAGCCTCTCGAGTAGCTGGGACTGTAGGCGCCCGCCACAATGTCCAGCTATTTTTTGTTGTAGTTTGGCCAGAGCTGGGTTTGAACCTGCCACCCTTGGTGTATTGGGCTGGTCCCCTACTCACTAAGCCACAGGAGCTGCCCCCTGATATTTTTAGAGACGGGGCCTTGCTTTTGCTCAGACTGATCTTGAACTCCACTCACCTCGGCCTCCCAGAGTGAACCACTGTGCTGGGACTATCCCAAGTGATTCCAAAAAAATAGGACAGAAATGGTCACAGGTCACAGATACTTGCCTGCCCTCCCAGTCTACTTGTAGCTCAGTTAGCAGAAGAAAGGCTGATCCTGGTTGAAGCTTTTAAACTTTTTCTGAACACCCTCCCTCCTTGACCTCCTCCTGGTGAGCTGTGTCCTTTAGTCTCATTCGTCTGTTCCCTCTGAAAACTGGGAGAACCTGCCAGAGCCTTTTAGTCCCTGGCAATTTACTGCTGATGGTATCTGGCTGGAGCTTTACCACCTTGCTTTTTTTTTTTTTTGGCTGGGGTTGGGTTTGAACCTGCTATCTCCAGCATATGGGGCTGGTGCCCTACTCCTTTGAGCCACAGGCGCCACCCATTCACCTTGATTTTTTTTTGCAAGACTCCACGGGAGACCAAAACCCAAGTTTTTCAATGGTCTTAACACTGAAGCTGGAGCTGCCTTGGTTGAACCCGTAGTCTGTGGGGAGAGGGGGAAACCATTTCCTAGGAGTGTTCATGGTGAAGGTGGCCTCTGAAATCACTCATCCTGGAAGGCTTCAGAAGGAACACCTGGCCCCCACCATATTGACCTAGGCTTGCCCCAGCCTGGGCTGGCACCTCCAGGGAGGCCAAGGTAAAGGTGACCTCTGCTGGGCCATTAGGAAGTCCAAATGCAGACTGCACTGCCCTGAGAAGTGAGGAGCTTTTTTCCCAGGACTAGGAGGTCTTTGTAGAGCTGTCAGATTTGCTATGTGCTCTGTGTTTGTGCAACCTCTCTTTCCTTCCTTTCCTTCTTTCTGTTCCTTCCTTACACTCTGGCCCCGAACCTTATCCTGATAACTTCCTGTCCAGCAGCAAGCCCCTCCCTACCCCATCCTCACTACCCTTCCCCATCTTTGTTTGTTTTCCCAATGGACCCCAAATTTTCTTTTCTAAGCAGGTAGAGGTATGGTGGAGGAAGAAGATTATTTAAAATAGAAACCCAAACCTTTTTTTTTTAGAGACAGAGTCTCACTCTGTCACTCTGGGTAGAGTGCTGTGGCGTCATCAGAGCTCACAGCAACCTCAAACTCCTGGGTTCATGCCATCCTCTTGCCTCAGCCTCCAAGTAGCTAGGATAACAGATGTCCACCAGGACACTGGTAGTTTTTCTGTTTTAGTAGAGAAGGGGTCTCAACTCTTGCTCAGGCTTGTTTTGAACTCCTGAGCTCAAGCAATCCACCTGCCTCAGCCTCCCAGAGAGCTAGAGTCAGGGGCATGAGCCATCACGCCGAGCTCCAAACTTTTTATTATAGTAAACTTGGAAAACACAAGGGAAAAAACCACCTCAATTACTGTTGACATCTAATAGTTTGTCTCCCTCAGCATATTTTTAGAAATGGGTTTTATACTGTGTTACTATCTTGCTTTCATTGTTATCCTGCACACTGCATTGTCAATCTACAAGGAAGTAGCAGAGGCAGAATTAATATACATATTAATATAAGTGGAGAGTAATATAAACTTGAGGATTGCAACTGAGTAGCATAAATTTCAAGTTAAGGAGCAGCAGTTGTAAGTGAGTCTTTAAAGGAAAAAGTCCCCGTGTAACTGCTGCTAATCCACTTTAAACTACTTTTAAGGGGAAGGTTGAGAGTGAGGCTGCTAGTCTGGAACAAATGACTTTTCCAGTTGTCCCCAGGCGTGGGTGTGAGGAGGAGGGGATGGTTGAAGTCCCCCGTCCGGTCTCTGGGCCCCAGTTCCCCACCCAGACTGCCCTGAGCTATTTTTCTTTTCTCTGTATACTTAGGACATCCTTCTGTTTTCTCATTCTTTTCACTTGTAATAACAAACATTCTGCGCAAACGTGTTGTGTCAGTTCTTTCTACTTATTAACCAAGAAATGACCGTGTTGTTTTTCTTTTCACAACGCAGAGAAGTCATACAGAATTCAAGAGAAACTCTGAGGTTATTGCAAGAAAAAAACCCTGCCTTTAAGCCAGTTCTTGCTATTATTCAGGTAAGCTGACCACAGCGCTCAGTCCTACGATTTGGGGATGCCCTTTCAGTCTAAAAAAAATGCATGCAAAAGACCGTCCACATCTCTTGTCAGAGAAGGGCTGGCTGGGTTGGAAGTGCTGTGGGTTTCCCTTTCAAATTTTGCTTCCTTGGGGTCTCGGCAGGTCCTTCCCTGTTTGTAAGCTGTCTCTTATGAGTCTTCCTCTCTGAGGCTTTCAGAGGTCGGGAGGGAGGCACCCACATAGCACTCCGCGACTATAGCACAGTGCTTATAGTGCCAGCCAGCCACATACACCAAGGCTGGCGGGTTTGAACCCAGCCCAGGCCACCTAAACAATGACAGCTGCAAGAAAAAAATAGCCAGGCTTTGTGGCGGGCACTTGCAGTCCCAGCTACTTGGGAGGCTGAGGCAAGAGAATCACTTAAGTCCAAGAGTTTGAGGTTGCTGTGAGCTGTGATGCCAAGGCACTCTACCTAGGGCAATAGCTTGAGACTGTCTCAAAAAAAGAATAAATAAATACAAATAAAAATAAATAAATAAATAAAATTTATTTGGGTATTTGTGACCTTTTTACCTGATATCTTTTTTATTTGCCTTTTTGGGGGGAGGGGAGCAGAGCTGGGTTTGAACCTGCCACCTCTGGCATATGGGACTGGCGCCCAAACCTTTTGTGCCATGGGCTTGAGACAGAGTCTTCTTTTGTCACCCTCTGTAGAGTGCTATGGTGTCATAGCTCACAGCAACTTCAAAGTCTTAGGCTCAAGCAATTCTCTTGCCTCAGCCTCCCTAGTAGCTGGGACTTCAGGTGTTCTCCACAATGCCTGGCTATTTAAAAATTTTTTTTTGCCTTGCCCCTTCCATCATGTGAAGCACACAGCTATTTTTAGAGACCAGATCTCGCTTTTGCTCAGGCTGGTCTCGAACCTGTGAGCTCAGGCAATTCACCTGCCTCAGCCTCCCAGAGTGCTAAGATTGCAGGCATGAGCCACAGCGCCTTGCCTTTACCTGATATCTAAAAGCCTGCTATGAGGTTCCACAGCCAAGGGCCAAAAGTCATCACCACATCAGAAGGGCTTTGCAAGCCTCGGATATCTTTTGGCTGCAGCCCCCTGGTTCTGAGCTGCAGTTGGCACTGTTTGCCATCCTGATTGGCACACTGTGTGGTGGCAGGTGCCGAGGGAAGATGAGGTGAGCCAAGCCTGTGAGCTAACACAGCCCAACGGTTGGGTATTTGGCGTGTGCTTCGTGTGTCAAAATAACAGCCTCTAGTCCCATCAGCACTATTTTGAAGACTGTAGTGCTCCGCTTCAGTTTCTTACATTCTTTGAGAGCTATGTCCCCTTGCAAAGAAAAATTAGAACAATAGAAAAAAAATTAGATTGGGAGCATGGGGCTCCTGGGACTCTTTGGCTCTCTACCTGGGGGCAAACCATTGAAACTCCTGTCTGTGTCCTCATTTAGAGAGGGGTGCTTGCTGTGTTACCACGAGTGTCTTACAATATGAGGGATTTTTATTTATTTATTTATTTTGAGACAGAGTCTCACTTTGTCACCCTTGGTAGAGTGCCATCATAACTCACAGCAACCTCAAACTCTTGGTCTTAAGTGATTCTCTTGCCTCAGCCTCCCAAGTATTTGGGACTACAGGTGCCCGCCACAATACTCAGCTATTTTTAGAGACAGCTGTCTCATCCTGGCTCAGGCTGGTCTCGAACCTGTGATCTCAGGCAATCCACCTGCCTTGGCCTCCCAGAGTGCTAGGATTATAGGAGTGAGCCACCGCTTCTGGCCCAGGGATTTTTATTTTTTTTAAAAGTGGTATAACTTGAAAGTCTGAGAAGTTAATATGTTCACAAATACTTCCCATTGGTCCTTTTTTGTAAGCAGTATGATTCTTTCTCTGCATGTTCCTCATCCTCTTTGTAATTAGATGATTTATGATCACAAAATCGGTCTCTATTGTTTTTTGTGCCTTTTCAAGATACTTTTATGTTGTTACCTTCTCTTTCCTCCCATCTCCTAAGGCAGGTGATGATAACTTGATGCAGGAAATCAACCAGAATTTGGCTGAGGAGGTGAGGACTGTTGGTTTTTAAAAAAATATTGATGATAATTTTTAGCAATATATTCTGTTAGAGTGACAGATGACCTTGTGTTCCCTTTTCAGGCTGGTCTGAACATCACTCACATTTGCCTTCCCCCAGACAGCAGTGAAGCCGAGGTAATTCATTCCTGCTGGGCCCTTAAACTCGTACTTCCCTTTCCTCCTTAGACGTATTAGCACCTTTTAACATGGCTGGAACAGAACCGGCTTTTCTTACAGCTGAGTTGTGAGAGGGAAGAGTTCACTTTTTTCTCTGGTGTAAATGCTCCTTGTTGATCGCTTTGTCCTTGACGGCATGTTTCTCTGGAAGACTTGAGCTCCCCTTGGTGATTTTAGTTGGGTTTCTTCAGCTGCAGTGGCAGCACCATTTAATGGAAATTGGCAGGCTGTGGGTATCTGGAGGACTGTCCTGGTCATGCTCTGTCCTGGCAGGTTGCTTGACCTTGGGCCATTCCTTTGGCTTGTCTGGGTCACAGTTGTCTATGGAATAAAAGAACAAGACCAAATGATCTGCAGGGTCCTTTCCAGGCTAACATTCTGTGTTTCCTTCTGTGGCTTGTAGGGGAAGCTGAGTCAACACACCCATAGTATTCCTTTAGCGCTGTTGTTCGAGTGATCTGGTTGTTTCTGCCAGCAGAGAATGACAACCTTCCCAGGTGTCAGGCCCTCTACTCTGCTACTTTTGTTGTGCTGTCTTCTGGTGGTGTTTCACCTCTACCTGTGACACTAACAGTCTAGCCACTGTCATGTAAAAAATAAGTTCACTGCTTGCTTCAGCAGCACATATTCTAAAATTGGAACAACACAGAGAAGCATGGCCCTGCACAGGATGAACACAGATTCATGAAGCAGTCCATTTTTTTTATGCCATGGAATCCTATTCAGCCATTAAAAAGATGGAGACCCTATATCTTTTGTATTAACCTGGATGGAGTTGAAACACATTCTTCTTAATAAATTATCACAAGCATGGAAAAGCAAGTATCCAAGGTACTCAATACTAATATGAAGCCAGTAGATGATTTAATACGCACTCGCATAAGAGGAAAAACTCGAATCAATTCAAGTTGGGGAGGAGGATGAGTGGCTCCCACCTAATGGGCACAGCGTCAGGGTATATGGCGCACCTTACGTGGGGGCGGGACCCAACTGCAACAGGGACTGTACTTAACAAATGCAAACATTGTAGCCTAATTGTTTGTACCCACACATTAATCTGAAATTTAAAAAAAGAAAAAGAAGTCCAGACTTAGTAAGAGAATTACTTGAAAGGATTATAGGAAGATAAGCAAAGGGACTCTGGTGATTGGGGCAGTGGTTTGGAAGGTGGCCTGAGGGGACAGTGGATCAGAGAGTGTTTTACCCTGAGGCTGGCCTCAGGAGGGGCTGTCTGCTGGCTCCAGCTGGGGGGGGGGGGTCAAAGTTCAAGGACCTAGAGGAGGGAGAGAAGCGTACCCAAAGTGTGGTTAACAAGGCTTTTGATCTGACTGAAGAGTGAGCTAAGCATTTCCATGAGACAATGAATAGGACCGTCTAGGGTCGGTGTCTGACTGTGTCCCCCTTTGCGGGGCATGGGTGAGTCTTTGTCACATGAGGAAGAATATACTTTGTGATACACAGAGGGTGGAGGATTTCTTAACTTTCTCTCTTTTCTAGGATCAGCTGAAGTTCAGTATTGTCACCAGCAAGAAAATGGAAGGACAAAGACAGGCTCCCACTCTCTTCCCCTTAAGGACATTTCCTGAAAGTCAATCTTCTTCCCTTCCATTGGTCCAGCCTCATAGTCCGGCCACCCTGCATGTGAGGCTGGGAAGTGCAGTCTTTAGTGTAGACCATCTATTAGCACAGCTAAAAATCAAGAGTTTATTACTAAGAAAGAAGGGAAATAGAGATTGGGCAATAGCATCTTCCCCACTTGCCTTTGTTATATGTTACAAATGTCCACAGTATCTTATGTAACAGATATTAAGACACCTATGATACAAGTGTTAACAGCTTGCAAAGAGATTTGCTGTCCATTTGCGGAAGGGCATGCATTGCAGCAGAACTGGAATTTCTATGGGTTGGTTTGCCACTGATATTGATAGCCCTTGACTTTTTTTTTCCTGTTGTTTATAATTGACAGATAATAATTCTACATGTTTGTGGGGTATAGTGTGATGTTTCAATACATGTGTGTGTTGTATAATGATCAGACCAAGGTAGTTATATCAAACTGTTATTTCTTTGTAGTGATAACTTTCTAGATCTTCTTTTCTAGTTATCTTTTTTTTTTTTTTTTTAGATTTAGTCTCATTCTGTTGCCCAGGCTAGAATATGGTGGCATCATATCTCACAGCAACCTCAAACTCTTGGTGATCCTCTTGCCTAGGCCTCCCTAGTAGTTGGGACTACAGACACCCAACACAAGGCCTGGCTAGTTTTTCTATCTTTAGTGGAGATGGGGTTTTGCACCTGTTCAGGCTGGTCTGGAACTCCTGAGCTCAAGCAGTCCACCTGCTTCAGAGAGCTAGGATTACAGATATGAACCACTATGCCTGGCCTTTTCTAGCTATCTTGAGGTATACAGTGTATTATTATTAGTTTACAGTTACCTTACTATGTGATAGAGCCCAGAACTTATTCTTCCTACCTAACTATGACTTTGTACCTGTGAGCTGACCTCTCCCATCTCACATCCCTCCCCTCCCACCATTTTATTCTTTTTCTATGAGATCAGTTTTCCTGGATTGCATGGGTAAGTGAGATCGGATGGCATTTGTATTTCTGTGCCTCTTATTTCACTTACCATAATATCCTCCAGCTTCATTCATGTTGCTGTAAAAACAGGGCTTCATTACTTTTTATAGCTGAATAGTGTTCCATTGTGTAAATATAACCACATTTTCTTTATTCATTCATCCCTTAAAGAATGTGTGGGTTGACGCCATCCCTTGGTTATTGTGAATAGTGCTGTAATAAACATGGAGTCCAGGTATTTTCCTTTTTTTTTTTTTTTTTT